TTGTAGTTGCCACATAATATCTTACAAAGTTTGCGGAGATTTGGGCGTTGAAAACTTTGGTCAAGACATATGTAGCACGAACTCTATATGAACGCATCGTTACCCGCTTTGGCATTCCGTTAGAGATTGTCTCTGATAACGGTTTTTCAATTCATGACTGAAGTGTGGGCAGATCTGCTGGAACGCTTAGCGATTAAGCAAGTTCGACCATGCATAAACTAAGTACAAACAAACTAGTAGAACGGACAAACAAGATATTGTGTTCTCTAATTGCAAAGGAAGCGGAAACTAGAGCGAACGCGAGCGATTGAGATCTCAAGATCCATCATGCAATGTGAGTATATAATTCAACATTCAAAACGGCCACATGATTCTCTCCATTTTGTTTAGCCTATAGCACGAAGGCTCTACTTCCAATAAAATACAAATTGATGACACTTCGCACCGCTTCGAATGCACGTTTGGATCTGTATGAGTCACAACGAAGAAGGCTGGTACAACTTAATGAATTGGATGAGTTCCAACTACGGGCAAGGTAGGCAATTGAGGTGGCTCATGCCAAAATGAAGAAGGTGTGAGATGCGAAGGTAAAGAAGCGGGTGTTCAAGACGGATGACTTGGAGTTGTTATACGACGCACGGCACTTCCAAAAGGGCTCACAAGAAACTGCTATCCAAGTGGGTTAGGCCGTATGAGGTTAATGAGGTCTTCGCATTAAACTACACTTACTCCCTGCTCAATTTAGATGGCACAAAATATCCAAATAGAGTTAATCATGATAAATTAAAGAAAGCTTATGTCGACATGTTAGACTAGTAAAAAATCTGAGGACGGATTTTACTATAAGTGTGGGGTGAATGGTAGGCAGTTGGAAAGCTTCTAGACTTCCCCTATTTGTTTGTTACTGGTGATAAGTCATTTGGTAGTTTTTCATCAAAGATAGTAGTATCGAGGGTTTTGCTAGAAACTTCCTCGTATCTGGTAGTGGAGGTCGAAGGGCTATTTAAATGGGCTCGTTCGTGTGAGTAGGCACCCTCTGATACAGTCTTCGGATGCACTAGTAGAGAAAGTGTCAAAATCATCAGTAAGGTCGGACCTTGTAGTAAAGCTGGATGGTTGTGTTTGACTCCAAGGTTTTAACAAAGATTTTGCTGTGTACTTCTTGGGCCTTTCCAAACGGACCCACACCCCTAGAGTTGAGGAAACTTCTTTGAATTCACTCTTCTCCACCACGGCTTCTTGATATGATAGCACTTGAACAAGTACCTTTTTCTTTTCTTGTACATTGTCTCTAACATGAACTTTCAAGTTCATTGTTGAGTCTACTGAAAAAGTTTTCAACTCTTTGCAAAATATGGTTTCTATGTCTGATCCGCCATTTGATTCTTAAAAACTTGCCATTTCCTCGATTGACAGCCGGATGCGTGTTATCGAAAGAGAAGATATAATAAATCACTAACTCTCCTCCTTCATCCAGCTCTAAGTAAACCCGTGCATTGGAAGAACACCATAAAATCCAATCATTGTGCATAGGTTAATGTACATACTCATTTATCGGGGAAGGAATTGTGTCCAAGGTTTTTGAATCACAACAACTTAACGTGTTGCAGCAATAATCCGCCAACGAACATTAGAAAACCGCCAATTTTGAATGATCTGCTCTTGATTGTTGCTACAATGCTCAACTTTCCATACTTAAAGTATTGGACTCATGTGAGCTGAGTATGAAAGTCAAATCTTGTCGTCCCCCACAAGATGCTGAAAACCAACGTCTCTTTGTCAACCGCAGATGAATAGGATTTGTCTTTCTCGCGAACTCGTCTCAACTTTCCATCTCTGAAAATCTTCAACTTTTTGTCATCATCAAATCGTCAAATTTCTATCATGGTGAAATTCCTGTTGACAAAAAGTTTCCGTCAAAAAAATGACCTATCACTGTCATCTCAAAATTCTATTCAAATTTTTGTCACAACCAAATCAGATTAGCCATCTCCCCAACACATAACATCACTATCACAAATCTCGGCTCTATCATAGACTCCAAATTAAAACCTGCTTTAATATCAAATTGTTAGTGTTTATCTAGAATCATAAAAACATAACAATCAAGTGATAGTAAACAGCCGACACCAAGATGTAACGTGGTTCATCACAAATGGCTACGTCCATGAAAAGTGCATGCATGAGAGTGCACTGAATTCATGTGTAATCCTCCTAGCTATGTTTAACTAGTACTCACTCTTAACCGAAATTAACATCAACATTAACATCACTTGTATTTGCAATTTTCTTGCATGTCAACAACCAATATTAATAAAAAAAAGATCAAATGTTTTATTTTGATAATTAAATTTAACAAAAAATCAATTTAATAGTTTTATTGATAATCTTTTTGTGATTTTTGAATGATATCACAACTAAACTCAGCAGATTTATGCATGTTAGTCATGATGTGAACCAAATTTTGCTCACAACTATTTTAATATTTTTGAGTAAGTTCGTTTTTTCTTGATGCAACTTTCCATATAGGAGTCAAGGAAGCAATCCTTGCACACATGCAATATCATTTAACCATTATTCTACACATTTTATCACGCATTTGCGTCACTTATCTCACTTCTTGACATCATTTTCCGACCAGATTTAAGCAAGACAAATAGTCTTTTTCCAGGTTTGTTTAATCTTCTCACAACTGGAGCTAAAGGTGGAATTCTTGTAGAGGGTACTCTAGATCAACAAGAACCCCGAATGATAAAACCATTCACTGGAATCTGTAGCGATGTTTGAGGTTTTTCATAATTTACAAACACACGAACATTTGTTTCCTCCCCGTAGTGTTGGATGTTGTCATCAATTGAAGATAGTAATTTGACCAAGAAGGACTCGCCTAGCTCAAGAAAATCACATGTATTCGGTTGATGATATATTCATCGACCAAATCTAGAACCTCTCACAAAATCTAGCTCTATATATCAAGGATGTAAATGAAGGTTGCATCACCAAAGTAAGCGCCTGTTCAGCTTGACGTATTTTGATCTACCATAAACTTTGATGCGATAGTACAGTACTTGAAGCAAGAGGGGTTTAGATTATCATAAACCAAAAAGGAAAAAAAAAAAACTTTCTATTTGTAGTGTAGAGTCCCTGTTTTTTTACTTCAATGGAAGGAATCATACATCATCAAGCTACACAAGAGATAAATTTAAGGCTGGGTTACATCTAGATTGCTATAATAAAGACGAAAAATATTAACAATATCATATATATATGATTTAAATTTATTTTGAAAAAATTATGTTTAGGGAAAGAAAGACGTTGAGACCTAAGCATTTGCTTGCAACAATGAAGACCGGAAAGATCTTTTCGAAAATAAATTATATGTGCTTTGCACATGAATAAAATTCATGTAGGTTAGTATAAATAAAAATCATAGTATGAATATTTTATTTGATTATTAGTTAAACAAAGGTAAATTTTTGTTGAATTACATTGATGCTTATCATTTTCAAAATTTTAAAACTAGTTATATGTTCAAAGTTGGGATGATTATATAGTTTTCAAGTCTATTTTTGTGAAAATATGTAGTGATAAAAAAACTAACACAAAACTTTATTTGTGAAATGAAATTATCATTAAGATGAAATTAAGTAATATATTATATATCTTTATTGTGATAGTTAGAGTGTATCATATCTTGCAACAAATCAAATGTTGGATAATAAGATAAAATATGTCAACATCAAATTTTAGTTTGATTAACTATATGATTTATAATAAAAATTTCAAGTTTAAATAGAAGTGATGAATTCATCATATTTATATAAAAAAATATGCAGAGTGTTCTAGCAGAATAAATTGCTATAATATTAAATGTTAAAATTTCTTAATTTCCAACTCTAATATTCATATTAATAACAGATATTACGGATGCAAGAAGCTGATTTTATAAATTTAATTCATATTTTGGATTAACTTTATTATATCAACAATATTAATTAAATCTATTTGACATTATCTACATAAAAAAGTTGTATGAAGCTCTATTTGACACAAAATTTAGGAGTTGAGTAAAGAAATACTGTGTTTAATGAGCAAAGCATCATTAAAGTGAATAACGAGTGTGTAGAATTTTTTTTGGTGTGTTTTTTAGTAGTTAACTCAGGTCTAATCAATTTAAGTTTTACTATGAAAGAGAGCTAGCCAAAGCTCTTAACAATACTTATAGGTTTTCATCAGCAAAACCTTTGTGTATTCTGACGTAGGTAATACGCAATGGCAAAACACCTATTTCAATATCTGCGTTTCGGTGTTTTCTGTGAAAGTTATTTCAATGGTGTCGTATTGTGTAACAGTATGAAACCATTGAAGAAGATAAACTATGTTTGAAGAAATGCATGAATCAAGTCGACATTAGATTTTTCAAGAAAAGTTCTGTTATGTGCATCCAAATAAATCTGATCAGTCCAATTACTAATAAGAAAAATAAAAATATAGGAAAAAATGTTTCTAGTTCATATTTGATTTTTTGGACACATTTTGAACCTCTAAGTGAACCTCATGATGGAGCTTCGACTTCCAAACGATCTACAAATCAGACTCTACTTACATCAAAAAATCTGAGCTACCTTACCATTCTATGCGGCAAAGAGTATGGAAAGATGCATAGTACATAAGTTGTACAAGGCTAAAAGGAAAGGGGTGTATGATGTTACCAGCTTGACATCGTCAAGATTTGATATATGTATATTTGGGATGATACATATAGGTCAAACGGTGTGCATACTAGAGTACACTAGAAACTAAGTGCTCTGCTAGATTTCACCAACTAGTATTTCCTAGAGAGGTATGAGGAGGCTAGGATTGACAGGAACAGGAGAACCATGCAGAAAGATGAAGGAGTTACCGAACAAGTCCTGAGGTTCCCTCGTGTACGCGAAAAAGGGTGACGATTTTCTATTTAATGAAGCAATCTAGCACATGCCAGTCGGTGTTCTGGTGGCAAGAATCTGCCAGCTGGAACGTAAATTCACCGTGCTTCCAAAGTGAAAGCGAGAACACTGACATCAGAAAACGAGGACACTGTCCTGTTTAAGCGGTGCCTCCAGATTAGGGAAGGTTTTCATCCGGGCAGGATGTGTGCAAGGTCAACGACGGGCTCGGGAGGCCGTCTCTGATTTAGACGTGGTTTTGGTGGTGGACCAGAGGATTCGCTCACCTAGTGGGACACTTGGCAGTGCAAATGCAGGCAGGGGACATTGGCCGGTTCCCTTTCTTGCTGTGAACTGTGCACGGAACCATGTCCGCGTCGATCGTCGTCGTCGAGCGCTTGTGCTGCAGGCTTTGGACGTGGTCTTCGACGGCCCTGGCTGTCCGATCGACCGAGAAGAGTTGCGGTATGGAAATTTGTGGTTGAGGTGGGTGGTTTAGTTTGATCGATTAGATTAGATGTTTGCAAAACTGGTCATCGAGTTTGATGGAAGATCGGGCACGAAGGAGTGTTTTCTGTATTCAGGTCAGATGAGTACTCTTAAGAGTGTACAGTTTTTTGCAGGGAGAAATTCGAATCCTCATCATTCTGATTCTCCTCATTGTAGTCTATTCGAGTGATTTCGTGCTTCCAAACCTTCCTGTTCCATACAGCTCCAATCGGTGGTATTAATATTGAAGAATTTCCTTTTTTTGTCGGAAGACTCTGCTCTTGAGTCTAGAATTGAGATTTCTCGGGAATTGGAGTGCATGCATAATCTGCTGAAGATTTTCTGCCATCTTTTTGAATAAGAGCTACTTTTTATTTGCAATGTTTTTTTTGGTGGATGTGTTGAGTGTGGATGGTATGATAATTTGCCTTTTGTAATTCATGAAACCCTGACAGACAGCCTTGCTGTCTTTGGTCAACAAATCTTTTGACTTAGAACTTTTCCAACAATGAATGAATGATTAGCTAGCAATATTCTTTGCCATTGAATTTGTCTTAAGAAAGGTTGGAATTTTTCATCTGGCTGGGACGGACTCAATGAAACCTCGACATGGAGCAAGAGCAGGCTACTCCGCATCCTCGCTACCATACCGATTTGAACAAGTGCTTATAATTCAAATGAGAGGACTGTCCCGCTTATCCATGTAGACTTTTGTATGGATAAAGTCGAGATTCACAGAAAAAAACAAGAAACTAAGAGCAGCTGTTGGGAAAGTGAAAAGAGTACAGTGTTACATTACAGGAAATTCTGAAATCATCTGCCCTGGAATGCATAATTATATGGGACAACATTGAGCTCACATGACAGGTTTTGGATGATGATTTCATGGGATGAATTATACCTTCTGCTGCAAGTTTGTGTGGTGCAACTCTCACACCGAAAAGGTTCTCCTGTCCTAAGGCTTTTGACATACATGTTTATTTCTCCTCGACAGTATTTGTAACGAGTTACCCACAGAATTTTCAAAAGCTAGAAAGATCTATACCTGTTTTGTGGAGTTGCATCAGTCATAGATTCAGCGCATTTGAAGAAGTTTTTTTTTCTTATAACGCGTGCATCACATATCCTTAAGTCTGAAATGAGCTGGATCCTCTTTGATTTGCAGGAGGAGTAGCACGACATTTGAAACTGAATTACTGTTGGAAGAACAAGAGCAGGAGTGCAGTAACGTACCTTGCTGGTCGAAAGTTGAAAAGGTTTGCTTTGGAAGTGGTAAACATGGGGGAAACGTTCGAAAGAATACCACTGGAAGCTGAAGGAGAAAATTATGGGGAAGACCCCTCAAGTCCAGGAAAACTACGTAAAGTGATACCTCTTCAAAACTTTTTAAAAAATTCAGAGGGCAGCGGCAACCTGGAAGTAGTGATGGAGCAGGAGCTTTACCTGGAAAAGTTTGGCTATGTGAACGTGGTTCTAGTTCGAGATTGTCTCTCTTGGCAATTGGTAGATTCAGATGACTTGGTAGGTGATGTTTCACGTTGATAATTCGTCAAGTTTTTTTTCTATCATGCTGGTTGCCCCTGGTTTTGTGAAGGCGGAATCCAGACCTTGATTGCGCAGAATTTTGGTTTGTATTGCCAGTTTGCATATCCCCGCAAGTCTAAAAGCTTATCTCACTCTTGGTTAGTTCGTTAGATTGGAACCTCTTGCTGGGGTGGACGGAAGGACTTGGAGAAAAGTCGAGACCAAGTTCTCGTGTCCGAAATCTTCGCCGTGGAATATTCTGGTTTGAGCAATCCTGCATCCATAGGAATGTGTGGGCCATTTACGAATCCTCTCCCTCAGGTAAATTACCTCAGGTCTTTTCTGTTGTTTATTTCCCTCTCTCTTTCGTGACTTTTCAAATTGATGATTTAGAGTCTGTTGCAAGTATATTTCAGGTTTGAAATAATAACCTGTTAAAATCCTTCCTGTCTATATTGTATCTATAGCATCAGTATCGTATATCATTTTCATTGATCACCTTGTCAATCAGATGCATCGTTTCGCAGTTCATACTTTTCTCAGGGCGCAGTCCAACAAATGTAATTGGACTCCAAAGGTGCATACATTTTGTCATGCTAGTGCCGAGATATGTCAGTCTTGGGTGGATCGCATCCAAGGGCTTATTGACCGCGACCTTTCTCGACCGAAGAACTTGCTGGTTAGAATTTTCTTCACCGAATCTTTTGTTCGTACTAGCTTGACGTATTGTAGTGAGTTGTTTACTGGAATAACATACTTTCCGGCTTGGCATCCGGCCTGTTCCGTTAGGGAGAGCCCTCCAGGCAATTTGTTTGTATCCAATCAATTGCCAAGGAAAAAGTTGTCCAATACGTGTGAGATTGTCTTCTGAGCAGGTATTAATCAATCCTTATGGTGGGAAAAAAGCTGGAGTTAGACAGTGGGAAACTGTTGCTCCTCTTTTCCATAAAGCGGGAGTGAAGACGAAGGTAAGCATTACTTTTTTGCATGTTATACTTCTGCTACTGTTGAATCACACTGCAGATATTCAACCTGATATTGACAGCTCCAGTGTTCACATTGATGTAGGTGCTTTTGACTGAGAGAGCACAACATGCTTATGACTTGATGGCACAGTCAACAGAAGAAGAATTAAAGAATTTGGACGGAGTCATCGTTGTGGTGAGCATCAGCCGCGAAGTTTGTTTTCATAAGTGCATCCAGTAATGTAAACGATATCTTGTTAACTGGAGCCAGTAGATTTCATTTTGTGTAAGTCTGGGCTTCCTTTGTGGAAGGCATGAAGATTGATGCCTTCCATCACTACTCCTACCGGGCCACCGTATTATGGCCCGGTAGTAGTGAGCTGTGTGGTATCTTTGATCTGGATTGAGTATCTGGTCTTCCATTCTTACGTTTTTTGGATTAAATTATTGAGAAATACGTGGGTTGCATATTATCAGGGTGGAGATGGTTTGTTCAATGAAGTTCTGAATGGACTTGTGATGCACCGGCACAAGGGTCATCCTGCACCAAACCCGGAACGGGTACTTGATTTGATGGCCAAAAGATGGAAAACAAAGAAAAGAAATAATTCCTCAAGTCATTTACCATCCGAGGAGGGTCTTCGAGCACTGTCGAATATGGAAAGGAAGAACGACCAATCATCTGGCCCTTCATTTGATGTCCATTCTCCACTTCTCACCGATTCTCCGTTGGAATCTAGAGCAGTCAGTTACTACTCTGCTCCTAGCTCCTCGAGTTCCTCACCCGATTCTAGCATTAATAAGAGCTTGAAATCGCGCATGGATCAACAAGCTGTTGTTTATGCCATGCCGAGTAAGGAAATAGAGCTAACTACTCGTGATTCATTTGACTCTTCAATTGCTATTACATCTGAGGCTGAACCACTCAGGGTCGGAGCAGATTCTACATTTCTGCCTGCAGCAAGTAAAGACGTAGTTGGTTCTGCAAGTACACGAGGTAAAAATTTGGTGCTGATTATCGCGACAGCTATGTTAGAGCTTTATGTTAAATATAGTCTTGCGTAGTAGTCCGTGTGCTGTTAATAAGTCGGTCCTAATATAGTACTCGTGAGAGTCTGATTGTCTAAATATGATCTTGCGGAAGTAATGACGGATGGATACAGTTGTTAGAAATTCTGTAGAGCAGCGTCTTAGGTACGGATATACATGTTTGATCATGAACTCATTGGTCAGCATTGAAAATATAATGCTGAACCTTGCTGCAGATCCTGGGAAGTTGCAGTACAGTGGTAGTAATCGACATAAAACGAATGCCCCTCTTCGAATAGGGATCATTCCAGCGGGATCGACGGACACAGTTGCTATAAGGTATGAAGTGGCTCGCCGATTTTTTGAAAGATGTTGTAAAAGAGAACTTTGATTCAACACCAACTTTCTTTGCTTGAATTAATATATCTTTTTGAAAATGAAAATATGAATGTGATCCACTCAAGATGAAGTATCTCCTCCCACAATAGGTTTTGTGACTCTTTTGCACTTGCCCTCATTTCATCTACCATTTATATAATGTAGTCTGGTGCCGGGTCCTTCTTTCAAGGGCCCGAAGGCAATTTTTCGGCGGACTGCCTGGGGAAGGCCCGCGGAAATAGGGCCTCTAAGGGCCTTTAGTGATGAGGAGCGGAAGGTAAGGGCATGGTAACCCTACAGACGTGCGAATTAACAAATTGAATTGAGCTAGATTGCTATCACCTCCTCCACTCTCACTAATCTAATTCATGTCGTAGTTGTGATCACTACTTGAAAACATCAGCAACATGTTTATTCTCATAGAACGAACAACAGTATTTACCACTTTGAATCTCAACTTTGAACTTGACAATTTAACCCGAAGTAGAAACATCTAGCGGTTCTGATCAAGTACTGATCAAAACTAGCAAGATAGAATATAGCTTAATTTCACCAGACGTGCAGCTTCCAATTTCAACTTTTATCAGGAAGTAAAGCAATGCATGAAAGGGTCGAGACACAGGTACTGAGTCCTGGAGAGAAGATCTAAGTTGTTATTAGAGAGTGAACTCGGATGGGGGTAATATACCCAATCCGAGAGATACATGACCCTAAACCCTAATGGACAGCGGCTGGTCGTGACAGTGGTCGTGACTAAGTGTCACTACCAGTGACTATAGTACAAAGTACATACGTTCTTCATCAGAGTGTACGGAGGACCAAGAAGTGGATAGTAATACTTCTAACACTTACTACCTACTTACTTCGCTCATCCACATTTCCAACTAATAAACCTAAATTCTGATTATGATACCACTGCTTTTCTCTAGCTAATGGTTTTGTCATAATATCAGCAATCATCTCTTCAGTTGAAACATAAACTATCTTCACCAAATTACTGGTGACCAGATCTCTGACAATATGAAATCTAATGTGAATATGCTTAGATCTCTCGTGATTTTTACGGTTCTCTATTTGTGAGATCGCACTTTGGTTGTCACAGAAAATAGTGGTCGACTCCATCTCAAAACCTAGATCGGTCAGTAATTCTCTTAACCACATAGCTTCAGCTCCAGCCTTGGACAAAGCCATGTACATGTAGAAGAAAGCGATACTGACTTTTGTTTCTTTGATGTCCAACTAATGGTTCCGCCATTGAGTTGGAAACAATATCCAGACGTTGATCGTCTCGTGTCAAGGCAACCACCCGAGACCGCATCAGAATATCCAGTTAAACCGGATGGTTTGTCAACCCTCGTAAACACAAGGCCAAAGTCGAGAGTTCCTTTCAGATATCTGAAAATCCTCTTAACTGCCTTCCAATGTGTCAATCCAGGATTTGACATGAACTGAGGCACAGAACTGACAGCAAAAGATATATTGGGTCTAGTGCAGACCATAGCCCACATCAAGCGCCCAACAGCAGCTTGATATGGAATATCTTTCACCTCTTCGCTTTCTCCCACTGAATTGGGAGAATCAAGCACACTTGACTTCAAACCGGGTTCCATAGGTGTATCAATAGGCTTACAGTCAGCCATGTTGAACCTCGCAAGCTTTTCAACCAAATATCGTGGTTGGGAGATCCGAATCCACCTTTCTTCACGATTTCTATCTACTTGCATACCAAGACACTGATGGATCTCTTCTAAGTCCACCATATCGAACTCCGTTTTAAGTTTACTCTTGATCTTTGTAAGAAGATCCAAGGAATTACTTGCCAGTATACAGTCGTCCACATATAGTGCTAAATACACAAATGCATATTTCTGAGAGTTATGTAAACATTCTTTTCTGCATTTGCTCTGGTGAAAGCAATCTGCAGTAAGAACGAGTCAATCCTTTGATACCACTGTCATGAGGATTGTTTCAGACCATAAATGGAGTTATTCAGTTTACACACCATGTTTTTCTCAGAAGAGATATTTAACCCATGGCCCTTCAGGAAGGGCCATGTAGACTTCTTCATCCAACCGCCCGTTCAGAAATGCAGTTTTCACGTCCATCTGGTGCAGCTCTAAATTGTATTGAGCTGCTAGAGCCATTAACACCCTGATGGATGTCATCTTCAACACAGGAGAAAATGTTTCCGAGAAAACAACACCATAAACCTGTGAATAGCCTTTGGCTACTAACCTGGCCTTGTATCGATCACAGGCTTGTATTTGATTTTGTAAATCCATTTGCAGCTAATTACGTTATTACCCGCAGGTAACTCTGTCAATGTCCAGGTGTGATTTTTCTTCAAAGAAGAAAATTCATCCTCCATAGCTTCTTTCCATTTGATGGAATCACCATTCTGTAAGGCCTCTTCATAAGAAGTAGGTTCTTGGTTCTTGGTGGCCGTTCTGCTGGTAACCTCCTGCAAATTGGATCAGTCGATGGAGCTAATGGAACAGGGCGAAAGGGAGTAAAACCTTCTTGCTCAGCAGGCGGAACAGCTGATTCCTGCTGATGGTGGGAGGTAGCTTTCCGAACTGCAAGAGACATAAATCTGACAGATCTGCTTTCAAGAATCTTGTGAGAGTCCTTACGCTGTACGCGATATCCTTTGGCTGTAGTAGAGTAGCCAAGGAAAACACATTCTACACTCTTGGGGTCAATCTTACCCCGATGGCCTTTCTCAATATGAGCAAAGGCAGTACATCCGAAAACTTGTAGGTTCCGCAGATCCGGCTTCTGCCTTTGCCACAGTTCGTAAGGGGTTTTTTCGGTGGGTAGAGTCTTCGATGTAGATCTGCAAGTAAATGGCCGTATGGATGGCTTCCCTCCAATAGCCATGAGAAAGACCAGAATGTGTCAACATAGCGACAACAGAATCAATCAAAGTTCGGTTCTTCTGTTCAGCTATTCCGTTTTGTTCAGGAGTATCAGGAATGGAAAACTGTCGTTGTATGTCGTGAAGCGTACAAAAATCAGTAAAAGCTCGAGATTTGTATTCAAGAGCATTATCTGATCTTAGAATCTTGATGCGCTTGTTCAGGTAATTCTCAATCATTAATTTGGAATTCTGAAACTTAGCAAATGCTTCAGACTTCTTTTGAATGAGATACACATGGGTATACCGGGAAAAGTCATTGATAAACGTTATAAAATAGATACAACCAGAGAACGTTCGAGTTCTCAAAGGTCAACAGATGTCTGAGTGCACTAAACCGAGAAGGTCTCTAGCACGCGCGGCTCCTTTCTTGGGGAATTTAACTCTGGTTGATTTCCCTATGGCATAGGAAGTGCAAAAGGGGAGAGTTTGTAAAGGACAGTTGTCGAACCCTCGGCCCATGTGTTTATGCTTCATTCGTTGTAACAGAAATGAGGCAATACAAGAAAGAGTCGAGAGACACAGATACTGAGTACTGGAGAGCAGATCTTAGTTAATGGGGAGAGAACCCGGATGGGGAATATATACCCAACCGTGACAGTCCGAGAGATACAGAAACCCTAGTGGACAGCGGCTGGTCGTGACAATCTGTCACGACCACGACTATAGTACAAAGTACATACAGCAAAGAACGTGAGTGTACGGAGGTCCAAGAAGTGGGTAGTAATTCGACTTCTAACACTCCCACTCACTACCTACTTACTTCGTTCATCCACATTTCCAACTAATAAACCTAAATTCTGATTATGATACCACTGCTTTTCTCTAGCTAATGGTTTTGTCATAATATCAGCAATCATCTCTTTTGTTGGAACATAAACTAATTTCACCAAGTTATTGGTAATCAGATCTCTGACAAAATGGTATCTAATGTCAATATGCTTAGATCTCTCGTGACTTTTGTTGTTCTCTATCTGTGACATGGCACTTTGGTTGTCACAGAAAATACTGGTCGACTCCAGCTCAAAACCTAGATCGGTTAGTAATTCTCTTAACCACATAGCTTCAGCTCCAGCCTTGGACAAAACCATGTACATGTAGAAGAAAGCGATACTGACTTTTGTTTCTTTGATGTCCAACTTATGGTTCCGCCATTGAGTTGGAAACAATATCCAGACGTTGATCGTCTCGTGTCAAGGCAACCACCCGAGACCGCATCAGAATATCCAGTCAAACCGGATGGTTTGTCAACCCTCGTAAACACAAGGCTAAAGTCGAGAGTTCCTCTCAGGTATCTGAAAATTCTCTTGACTGCCTTCCAATTTTTCAATCCAGGATTTGACATGAACTGAGCCACAGAACTGACAGCAAAGGATATATCTGGTCTAGTGCAGACCATAGCCCACATCAAGCGCCCAACTGCAGCTTGATATGGAATATTCTTCACCTCTTCACTTTCTCCCACTGAATTGGGAGAGTCAAGCGTACTTAACTTCAAATCGGGTTCCATGGGTGTATCAATTGGCTTAAAGTCAGCCATGTTGAACCTTGCAAGCTTTTCAACCAAATATCGTGGTTGGGAGATCCGAATCCACCCTTCTTCACGATTTCTGTCAACTTCCATACCAAGACAGTGATGGATCTCTTCTAAGTCCACCATTTCGAACTCCGCTTTAAGTTTCTGCTTTAAGTTTCTCCTTGATCTTCGTGAGGAGACGCAATGAATTGCTTGCCAGTATACAGTCGTCCACGTACAGTGCTAAATACACAAATGAATTATCCTGAAAGTGAACGTAAACATTCTGATCTGCATTAGCCCTGGTAAAGGCAATCTGCAGTAAGAACGAGTCAATCCTTTGGTACCACTGTCGTGATGATTGTTTCAGTCCATAAATGGACTTATTCAGTTTACACACCATGTTATTCTCAGAAGAGATCTTCAAGCCTTCAGGAATGGCCATGTAGACTTCTTCGTCCAACCGCCCGTTCAGGAATGCAGTTTTCACGTCCATCTGGTGCAGCTCTAAATTGTATTGAGCTGCTA